CTGGAAATCAGGTAGGATTGGAATTCGCGTCGAATCAATCCGCATATCGGCACGGGGTCGAGATCGGATCCGGCTGGCCGCGCCTAGATGCACAGCGGCCCCATGCGAACATCGGGCCCGCGAGGGATCGTCTGGACACTGGTGGGCGCGACCCACCGTCGCTGGCATGAAGCTTTCGAATATAAGGGGGATCGCCCCCCCCCAAAAAAAAGTACGCCACCGAGGAACCCCACATACTTATATCACGGCTTGAGTGATGATAACTCAAGTGAAGCATGTGAAAATGATGTTGGTGGCCGTTCCCTGCGCACCCCCTACGGTGTCGAGAAAATGCCATGCCTGCTACGCCCTGGACGACCGGCTCGGATAGAGGCCGAACTCAGACTCAACCACCTGCGGGCCCCCTCAAGCTACGAGAAGATGCCACGCCTGCTACGCCCTGGACGACCGCCTCGGATAGCGGCCGCGCTCAGAAACCGCGACCTGCACCCCCCCCACGGCGTCGAGAAAATGCCACGCCTGCTATGCCCTGGACGACCGGAGCCGCTGGGGACCGCTGAGGCGTGAAGGCCTGCACGGGCGTGGATTTGATTGGCGTGTCCTGCGCGGGCGTGGCAACGCCTCCGTTGCCAGCGTCGCCGACGCGCCGAACTTTCGCCAACGGCGAACCATCGCCATCCTCCGCCCACCCCGCGGGCTGATCAGCTGGGAACCCGCTGGACGAAGGGTTCAGCAAGTACCTAGCCAAGCACTGCCTCCTGGCATCGTCGGCACCTCGTTGACGCGGCAACTCGTTGTCCCTGGTGACGAGCGTCTCGGGCCACCAGATTAGAAGCTGTCGCTGGTAAGCATGAAATGCGCTGCGTACCAAGCCGCTTCCATGCCTGTCAACATGTTCGCGCAAACCATCTAAACTCACTTCGGCGCCCAGCTCTAGCATTGACTTCTTGAGCTGCTCGCGCGGAGGCGGCAGCGCCGACATGGCACATTTGGGCGCCATGACCAGAGCCGCACACACAAATATTGTAGATAATTGAGTGTGGCAAGAATCCAAAATGACAACTGGTCGAGGATAAACAAAAACAATGAAATAAACGAAAATATCGCAACCTGTTGGGAATAAACATCTGAACGAAACACAAGCGAACATAGACATGGTTCTCACATGTGTATGGCGGCAAAAGGGGGCCCACATCTTGCGAATGGAATTGAGGAGCGACTCCAAAACCTGTTTGCACGGTCTCAAACGAAAGTCGTGCTCCCAAAGAAAAGTTAAACAAACGTCTTTTGATCAAAGAAAAACGATTTCCCGAGAAAGAATCTCTTGACGGACAATCACCAGCGCGAGCACGCCGAATTGCAAACCCGAACGGTCTGAGCCGGCATGAGCCAAGATGGCTACAAATTCTTGATGATGGTTGCAATCACCTTGCTTGCGTTCCCCTGTGCCCTGAACACGACCGGTCCGGATAGAAAACTTGCGCACCGATGTGCCATGAGCACCGCCGTCACGGATAGAGGCCGCGCTGACAGACCACCCCCTGCGCACCCCCATGGTGTCGAGAATGTGCCGTGGCTGCTATGCCCTGGACGACCGTCACGGATAGCGGTCGCACTCGGACACCACCCCCTGTGTACCCCTCATGGTGTCGAGAATATGCCATGCCTGCTGTGCCCTGGACGACCGTTACGGATAGAGGCCGCGGTGAGAGACCACCCCCTGCGCACCCCTATGATGTCGAGAATGTGCCATGCCTGCTATGCCTTGGACGACCGTCGCGGATAGCGGCCGCACTCGGACACCACCACCTGCGCACCGTCTACGGTGTCGAGAATATGCCATGCCTGCTGTGCCCTGGACGACCGTCACGGATAGCGGCCGCGGTGAGAGACCACCCCGTGCGCACCCCCTATGGTGTCGAGAATATGCCATGCCTGCTGTGCTCTGGACGACCGTCACGGATAGCGGTCGCCCTCAAAGACCACCCCTTGCGCACACCCTGTGCTGTGGTGTCGAGAAAATGCCATGGCCGCTGTGCCCTGGACGACCGTCACGGATAGCGGTCGCCCTCAGAGACCCCCCCTGCGCACCCTCTCTGGTGTCGAGAAAGCCCCACGCCTGCCGTGCCCTGCGCCATGGCCCGCATAGAGCCTCCTGCCATGCAATGCGAATCCTACACTCACGTCTTGTATATGGCATGTCATGTGTATGTGTATGATTCGTGTGCGGCTGTATCGATACGTGTGCCTCATGTGGGTGCCCAGTATGTTGTGCATGCGTCTTGGGTGTATGATGCAGTGAACACGTCAGGCGTGCACTAGCGTTGTATGGTGTGTTTGCGAGAGTGTTGTATGGTGTGCGTCTGCTGGCGAGTGTCATGTGGTCATGCCTGCACCTCCTCCTCCGCTCCGTGTGCGGCTGTATGTGAGCGTGTGTCTCATGTGCGTGTGGGCATGTGGGCGCGAGACGCAGAGGGAGGAGGAGGAGAAGGAACGCGTGCGAGACGCGGAAGAGAAGAAAACCAACACCCCACGAAACGTGTGGGGAAAACATGTCCTAAAGGGGGGTCAGAAACCAAGGGCTCCAATCCGGGGTCCCAACACCGTGTGGTGACGGACCGCATACCTCGGAATCCCCAACGACCTCACCACGCGGTCCGTCACCGCACCGTTTTGGGACCCTGGAGGCTCCGGTCGCCCGAGACTTCCGCAGAGAGCGACCCGAGTCCCAGAACCGCGCGGTGACCCCGAATCCCCACCGACTCGCCACACGGTGTGGTCACCATGCCGTCTTGAGGCCCCCCGATCCCAGGCGCCGCCCCCCCCCGTTCCCTGGAGCGCCTTCCCTGCTGCAAAGGTCCTCGAGCGATGAAGCTGCTTCCGGGCCGCCTTGGACCCCACCCTGAACGGCAGAAACGCCACCTCACACTGACTACCTACCGGACCGCCCCAACCCAACCCGAAGACCCGAATTTGACCCGACTTTCGGGTTGGGGGGGGTACGGATTCCATGTGTTTTTTCAGTGTTCCCCGACCCCCCCACCACTGGAAATCGAGGATAAATTTGGGCCTTCGGGTTGGGTTGGGGTGGTTTGGTGGGTGGTGACACACGGACAGAAACCTGTGGATAGCGCGTCACGGCGGCGGCCTCGGCGGCACGCTGTGCCCTGCGAGCGGACAGCGTGTCGCTCCGCTCTGCGGGGCAGGAGGCTCGGAAAGGCTCGCGACGTTGACGCCTCGGGACATGGATGTGCATTGAATAGCGTGTCGCACAGGGGCGCGGTGGGCCAGATCCGGCCGGAAGAGCGACACGCGATCCAAAAGTTCCAGTCCGCAGCGAGCACCCCAACGAGAGAAGCCCGTCATCAAGCGCACCGCAAGAAACAATCGAGCGGCGTAGGGCTGTTCCGTGAACGCCCAAAACTGGTTAGCAAACGCCAGTTATGGGGGTCACGGTGTTTATAGTCGGCCCGTATCATAAGGATGCGCGATAAGGATGCAAGGGCCTTAGACGGCCATTTCCAAGCTTTTCGAACGGAGCGCGGCCAACGAAAGTGGCCAAGGATGGACCGAGGAGGCAAGGATGTAAGGGTACCCTTGAGAAAGATGCCCAACCTTATCATGCGGGTTGACTCTATCTCCCTTGACACCCCGAGGCCAAGGGGTCAAGGACGGCCATCGTGAGCGCCATCCTGACCAGCGTCCCTACAGCCAGGCTTAGCCGCGGTGCCGAAGCGAGCACTCGGACCACCAAGCAACCTCGGACGGCGGCGAGCGCGAGAGCAACTCTCCCGGGGTGCGTTCTCAACAGAATGTCGAGGCGAATCCAGCGGTGGCGACGAGGGCCTCCCATAGGAGGCCCCAAACAGACGAAAACGAGGCAAGGGTAGCGGCATGGGTAGTTACCCTTTCCTCCTCTCCAACAGGCGAGCGAGACGACGACCCGCAGGCACGCGGAAACCTTGCGCTGCTCTGCAGAAGCCGCCGGAGTCTGCCCTGGATTTCACAACAAAAAGGAGGTGGTATGATTCGTCGTGTGGTCTGATTTGAGCTGTCTTGGAGGGTTCCAGTGGGGTCTGGGCAAGAGGCCCCCCCTTCGCGGCTGGTCTGGGGGCGGCCTGAAGCTGCTCGTCTGGGAGGGTTGTGACCCACTCCCTGTTATTACAAAATTTGGGGTACAAGCCAGAAGAACAACCCTCAAGAATAACACGGAACACGAGACCCTCCGCCTGCCAAGACAGACAGAACGTCCAAGGGTACCCTCCCCAGAATACACGAGCATTCCCAATAAGCACGAAGAACATTAGGGTACCCTCCCAGGACCGACCCCGATCTTGTTCCTCGGTCCGACCGTACGTCTAGCCCAGACTCCTGACGTCATGAGCTTTTCCTGACGTCGACCCCAAAGGGTTTCGACCCATTCCCCAGGACGGGTTTTCATCCTGAATCGTTGTTTGACGGTCCCACGGCCAAATGAGGGCCCCCCAAAGCAGTACATAACGAAAAACCCCGCGCCGTGTTTTTTTCGTGATTCCAGGGGGTCTGGGAAGGTCACTCCGACCAAACGTCACTCTTGCGGCTATAGTTAGGTCGGGCACGTCCTCCTAGAGGCGGATTTTGCAAGAAACATTGAACAACTGGTCAACCAGAATAACATAATCAAAAACAGAACACGAACAATTGTCACCAAACTATGTTTTTACGATCGCTCGGGGATCTGCGAACCCGGGTCAATCAGACCCAGGTCAACAGGAAACCAGAACACTGCAATGCTGGAACAACAATTGCAACGCAGGGCTTCGCAAACCCTGGTCAGCCAATCTGCGCGGCTCGCTAACCCGGGTCAGCCAGAGGGGGTCTCCGCAGGATCCTGCAGGATCCAGTGCCCTGGCTGATCCCCGTTTGCATTGACCCCCGTCTCGTAAGCTCCGAATCGTTGCGAAACAACCTTGCGCCTGGGAGTCGCAACGGTCCACAGCAAGGGGGTGGGGGGCGGGCGCGGCCTCCTCCTTCGCGGCCTCGTCGATGCGCCGGAGCCTTCCCGATGGGGGGCGGGGGGGGCGATGACGATGGCGATGACGATGACGATGTTTTCCTCCGAGCGCTGAAGGGTGCGAGCACTTCTTGTGACCCCGAGGCCGGCGCTCGCACGGGACTCCGCCTTGGCCCGTGGGTAGCCTCGCATACTTAGCGCTTTCGAGCCATCGCGACCAGGGAAAACGAGGCCCCGCGGGGAAGACAAGGAGGAGGAGAAGGAGGAGGAGGAAGAGGAGGATGAGGAAGAGCTGGAGTTGGGAGTTGGAGGGAGGAGGAGGAGGAGGAAGAAGAGGAAGAGGAGGAGGAGGAGGAGGACAAGGAGGAGGAGGAGGAGGAGGAGGAGGAGGAGAAAAAATGGAGTTGGGAGTTGGGGGAGGAGGAGAGGAGGAGAGGAGGAGGAGGGGAGGAGGAGGAGGAGAAGGAGGGAGAGGAGGAGGAGGAGGGCGGACCAGGAGGAGGAGGGAGGAGGAGGCGAGAGGGGGAGAGGAGAAGGAGGAGAAGGAGGAGTAGGCGGACGGAGGAGGAGGGAAGGAGGAGGAGGAGGAGGAGAGGGAGGAGGAAGGCAGGAGGAAAAAGCGGAGTTGGATGTTGGGGGAGAAGGAGGAGAAACGAGGAGGAGGAGGAGGAGGGGGAGGAGGAGGAGGAGGACCAGGAGGAGGAGGGAGGAGGACCAGGAAGGAGGAAGGGAGGAGGATGGGAGGAAGAAAAAAGGAAAAAGAAACAGAAGAGGAAAAAAATGAGAGGAGGATAAGGAGGAGGGAGGCGGAAGGAGGAGGAGGAAGGAGGAGGAGAAGGAGGAGGAGGAGGAGGAGGAGGGAGGAAGCAGGAGGCAGAAGGCACAGAAATGTTACGACGAGGCCCTCGCGGGCGGGCCCCGCGCGGAGGCCCTCGCGGGGGGAGGCCACGCCGCGCAGGGCCCCCGGCGCGCACCGGGGGGGTACAGTCGGCCCGTATAAGAATGGCGCACGATAAGCTAGGGCTCCCAACTTCGCGCTTCGCGCTGCGCGAAGCGCGAAGCGCGAATAACTTCGCGCTCCCGCGCCGCCCTCCCAAAGGGAGAATAGGAGGACGAGGAGGAGGGGGAGAAGGAACGAGGACCGCGAAGCGCGAATAACTTCGCGCCCTCGAGGGAGCCCTTGATAAGGATGCAGGGGGCTTGGAAGGCCACGTCGACGTTTTCCGAACGGGGCTGCGCACAGTCAGCCCGCATGAAAAAAGGACTCACGATAAGGATGCACGGTCAGCCAGTATGAGAGGGGTGCACGATGCAGTGGAGGCTAGTCCACAGGAAGCCTGCCAGAACAATCCCAACCCTGAGGCCCCGGGAATTCCGCTCAGTTCAGTTCAGTTCAGTTGGGGCGGCATCAGCCCAAAGACTCGCACGCTACGCTATGCTGAGCTCACATATTGCGACGAGCGACGCGTTCGCCACTGTCACACGCGTACACAAGAATTCTTAAACCGTGCTCTGCTAAGCAGTAGCGGGAACTACCATCTGACCTCGCCGGGGCGTTCACACAATGTTTGCCCCTCGGCCCCTCATGGGACCGCGCCGGGGCGTTCACACAATGTTTGCCCCACGGGCTTTGCAAGCAAGAGAGGGAGGAGGGGGAGGGGGAGACAAAAGAAGGACGCAAACAAAGGGGGGGGAGACTACCACGGACAATAAACAGAAAACGAGCTCACTTCTGTGCTGCTATCTTGACGCCGTCCTGCCAGCGCCTGGCGACGAAACCACGGGCGGCACGAGTACAAATGCGGCTCTCGGAACCAGAGCTGTTGAGCAGTCGCTGTGTCTCAAACCACCTGCTGTCTCGAAACTTTAGGAGGACTGCGGCCCATGAGTTGCCATGTCGGGGCCGGGCTAGATGCTCACCCCAGGCTAACACTCGCTTGCAATGCTTTGTACTCCAGCTTCCTCTCTGGCCCATGATGGTCGTAGCCTGCCTGTTCCTTCGCCGTACGTACTCAAGTGAACCCTCATGGGCACGCTGACAGAGACGCAGAATGGAGCTGACCATTTTCCTTTGCACTGTGTCGATTTGAATTTGTCTCAACGCTGTAGGTGGCCACCGTGTGTCGCGATGCTGCATAATAGGCAACACAAATCGGTCCATACAGGTGTACCGAAGAGCCGCCGGCATCCTGGAGGCGACCTTGGAAGCGCAATTCCCGAAGTATGCTTTCCACATTGACCTGGACGTCCGCTGCCAGCACGCCTGGGTGGAGCCGTTGTCCTGGAGCGTGTGACCCAAGGCATGAAACTCTGCGCTGAGCGGCCACTTTTCCAAATTGCGCGGTGCCTCTGTTCTGCCCCGTGGCACGAGGCACGATGTACTGGAAGGCTTGATGTGAAGATCCAAGACTGATTGTAAATGGGCCTCGAAATCTTCCAGGATCGCGATTGCCCCTTTGAGCAACGAGCCCGCGAATAATAGATTGTCCACATAAGTAGCGACAATCAGACGGAGGCCACCTGCTTGAAAGCCGTGCCTCCGTTGATTTTTGGTGTGGGAAAATCGCGCTCTCCATCGCATCTGAAGCCTGTGGGAACATCATAAGCCCAGCCCCAACACATCGAAACAAAAACGCCATAAACATAAACTTTCGGCGTTCCGCACGGATTTCTTGGATCCGCGTTGGGCCCCCCCGCGGCGCCTCCAGCGCCGCCCCCCAACGCGAATCCAAGAAATCTGCTCGTAGCGCCAAAAATATGTGTTTATGGCGTTTTTTTTCCTCGACAGGGTGGGTAGCGCAAACAAGAGAAGTTTGAATTCGATCGCCACCGACAGAGGCATGAAATTCGATAGCGATGACCAATTATGCTGATCGATGAAGTCGATCGGCGAGAATTGGATAGCGACCGCACGATATCCGATAACGCAACACCCAACCTGCACCTCCTCCGGGTCGAGCACCCGGCGCCTCGCTCCGCGCCGCTAAGGCCGCGCGGCTGTCTTCGCGCTCCCCCGGGGATCCTGGCGCTGCAGCGCTTTCACCACAGGCGCTCTTTCGCTGAGCATCGGTCTCTCAAGAGCATCGAACACGGGCACATCTTCAACGAGAAGGACAAGAGGCGCATCGAGATGGCGGTGGCGTTGTTTTACAAGACCCACTGCGAGAATGACGATCGCCTCTACGACATCTCCGAGAATCACGGAAAAGCCGCCCGCGAACCTCTTGTGGCTCGTGCCGAGCTTCAAGGCGAAGATGCACGAGCTTGCCAAGAAGAAGGGCACCGAGCCCGGCCCCGAGAACGCCGCCCCATGGGCCCTCACATCGGGCGACGAAATCTATACATATCCACTGCTCCCTGACCATGCCCATCTTGAACCCAGGAGCTGTGTATGCGCCCTCCTGGCCAAGCCAGGAGGGCGTGGCGTATGCACCGCTGCGGGGTTGAGGATGGGCCTGGCCAGGGAGCAGTGGATATGTATAGATTTCGTCGCCCCATCACAGGTCGAGCCGTGCCGAGCCATGACGGCGACAGCAAGCTATGCGGTGCAGTAGGACCGCGCTGCACCGCGCGTGACCAGCGCCCACGCTCGTGCAAGCTTCCCACGCGCCCACCCGCATCTTGGTCGGCAGAATCTCGTAAGATCGCGACTGCAACTGCAGCGCAGAGGAAAGAGAACTATGCACATACACCGATTCTGGCCAGGCCCATCCTGAGCCCGGGATCGGTGCATACGCCCTCCTGCCTTGGCCAGGAAGGTGTATGCACCGATCCTGGGTCAACGATAGGCCTTGCCAGGACCGGTGCATGTGCATAATCCCCTTCGCCCGACAGCGTGGAGCTCGTCCGCAAATCTCACCGAACTGGCAAGCGCGCGAGGGCATCGGAATAATCATGTGCGACATGCGCGCGCGATGGCTTCCTGGGACAGCACAGCTGAACAAAAACAGGCTTTTTCTAGGAACCCGCAAGAGCGCGCGGGATGAACTGTTGAAAACTTGTTGTTGCAAAACGATTTGGCTTTTGAGATGCTTACGTTGAAATCGCAACGAAAACAAAAAGGTTTTGGAAGGATTTCGTCTTGCGTGCGCGCATGTGGCCTGAATGGCAACATTTCCAAAAAGGAATCGTGGCGTGCACTCAGCTCATCTTAGATCAACGCATGTGCACCGCATGGTATTATTTGTCAGGGATGAGGGGGGGCGATACCGGGACTAGCTGGGATGGTATGAATTCATATGGACAATGAACAACGGGGTAGAATCATATGTAAATTGCAGTACCCCAGGGAGGAGTGGTAATCTCGGGGTTAGTGGTGGGGATAACATTTAAACAAAAACGGGAGAATCTATCCGGTGCAGTTCAATTTGACTGTCTTGAAGCTGTCCTCTCCACCTGCTCGTGCAAACATCCCACCCTCCCACCCGCAACTTGGTCGCAAGACTTTTTAAGACCGTGGCGGTGGGTACCAAGTGGCACGTGGCAACGACAGCGACGCCGACGACGACAACGACAACGACCACGACGACGACGCCGTCGACGACTACGACGACACCGACGACATCTCCAACGATTTCGACGACGACGACGACAAGGACGACGACGACGCCGACGACGACGCCGACGCCGACGACAGCGACGACGATAACGACGCCGACGACGACGACGGCGACGACTACGACGACGACTACGACGACGACGACGACCATGGCGTCGACGCCGACGACGACGACGCCGACGACGACGACGAAGACGACGACGACGTCACCGACGCCGACGACGATGGAGGACGGAGGACGACGACGGCGACAACGACGACATCTCCGACGATTTCGACGACGACGACAAGGACGACGACGACGACGCCGACGACGACGCCGACGCCGACGACAGCGACGACGATAACGACGCCGACGACGACGACGGCGACGACTACGACGACGACTACGACGACGACGACGACCATGGCGTCGACGCCGACGACGACGACGCCGACGACGAAGACGACGACGACGACGTCGCCGACGTCGACGACGAGGGAGGTCGGAGGACGACGACGGCGACAACGACGACAACGACGAGGGAGGAGGGAGGACGGCGACGCCGACGACGACATCGACGAGGGAGGAGGGAAGACGACGACGACGACGGCGACGAAATAGGAGGGACGACGACGAGACACCGACGACGACGCCGACGACGACGACGAGGGAGGAGGAAGGACGACCACGGCGACAACGACGACGGAAACGACGACGACGCTAAAGAGGACGACGACGACGAGGAAAGACAGCGGACGACGACGGCGACGACGACGACGAGGGAGGAAGGAGGAGGAGGAGGACGACGACGACGATGAGCGCGCGCGCACGCTTTTGTTGAACATCCGTGTTTCTAAAACCCCGTGTTTTTGTATGCGTGTTGGGCATTGTTCCTTTAAAAACCCTCCGAAACGTAAGGTTGTTGTAAGATTCCGGCATGCGCGTGCGACGACGCGCGCGCGCGTGTGCACTTCGTCCCGTTTTTTCGCAGAGGATCCTCGCGACGGCACGCGCGCAAGGGCGATCGAACGATTTCGACATGCGCGCGCGAAGCCCGTTTGGTTGTATATGTATGTATGTATGTATGCATGTATGTATATGTGTGTATATATATATATATATAAATGTGTGTGTGTGCGTGCGTGCGTGCGTGCGTGCGTGCGTGCGTGTGTGTGTGTGTGTGTGTGTGTGTGTGTGTGTGTTTGAACATGTTGAAAAACTTATGGTATTCTTTCTGGTGTCCTTACGATTTCGCAAGAGCGCGCGCGTGCGCCCTTCTCGGCTCGGGCAGCCCTGGCGCCGCTCGGCGGCGGCGGCCGCGCAGCCGCCCGCGGCGCCCGAGGCGCCGCCGCCAAGTGGCCACCGGGAGCTGCCCGCGAAGGACACGCCTGCGACGAGAGAGGGATCCCCACGGCAGGCGTCTGCGTCAGGCCGCCCGCCGCGCGCGGCCTCGAAGCCGATCCGCCCCCGCGGCAGTCGCGCGACGCCGCGCTCCGCAACAGCATCGGCGGCGTCGGTCTCGGGGGCGGAGGCCGCGCCCGCGGCAAGCCCGCTCGATTGAAACCATTCAACCTCGTGGGGCTTCGAAAGCGAGAGTAGCCGCGGTAGGGAGGGCCTTGCGCTGCCTCTCGAGGGGCCATCGGCCGCGGTCCACTCCGAAGGAAGCCACCGGCAGCGTAGCGCGCAACCCGTGGCGAGACAAAGAGCATCAACAGACTGCGCAACACGTAGCACCGCCCTCGAGTCCGAGGGCCCCTTCGACACCGCAGAGGCGGCCGCCGGAGCGCCCCCCAAGACGGCGATCCACCGCCCAAAGTTGCGAACGTTCCTCAGGGCGCGCCGCAAGGCGCACAAGATTGCCCGCCCTTCCAAGACGGGCATGGGCTCCTCGGAGCCCCACTTGTAGGGGCCCACAACCCTCCAGTCACGCTTCAGCAGCTTCAAAGGTTCCTCCCGAAAGACGGCCGCGCGAGAGCAACCAAGACCAGAGCCCAAGCCCAAATGCCTCCAGATCCGTTGCCATGCGCCCCAGGCAGCCACTGCACCTCCGGGTCGCCAGGCACGGCAGCAGCAGCATCGGCCTGAAGACGCGGAGGAAGACGCGCGCCTCGATAGAAGCGCCGCCGCTCGCAGCGCCCCCCAAAACCCCGCGCCCCCTCAGGTAATGCCGCAGACGAGGAGGCCCCAAGACCAATGGGGGAGGCGTCCACGCCGCGGAGCGCGGGCCACCAGGAGGCCTTCAGGTTGCGCCACAGCAGCGGCGAGATCCTGCACCAGATGGTGAACTCCTTGATCGCGCTGGCCCACGGCGGGGCCCCTTCGTCGTTGGGGCGGCGGATGAACGCGAACAGCGTGTCGAACACCGACAGGGTCTTTCTGCGAATCAGGCCGATGAACCCCACGTGGCCCACGAGCCTCTCGAGGGTCCTCCCAGAGACACGACCGCGACGGAGGATCACGCGAATGCACAGGCGATCTCTCCAGACTCGGGCCCGCGCGGGCCTCAGCGCAACGGCCCGACAGCCAATGTCCCATCCCATGACCGTCCGATCCAGAGGCGTCGCCACTCGGCCTGTCGACATCGGCAGTCGCGACGAGCCCAGCCCCCCTCAAACCTTCGACGACGGCGCGCGCAAGAAAGTGAACTTTCGAGGCGACCGTGGATATGGCGACAAAGTTATCGACGCACTCCTGGTGACAGGCGCCCGGTAGCGGTGGGGCGACGGGACGACCCTGCAGGCGATCCTCGGCGCGCCCGCCACATCTCCCAACCATCCTCTCGTGAATTCGTCGGCGCCACCAAAGAGCCCAAGTCCACCCCGTCGGGAAAAGCGAAGCCGCGGATGCACCCAGGCCCCGCCGCGGATGGGCTGGCCCCCCAGCTCCGCGAGGTCTATCTCCCTCGCGCGCACGCGGCGCGCGGCGAAGAGGTCCCGGAGCTCAGCGGGCAACTGAGGTGATAGGACGCGTTCGACAGATCAGCCACAGAGATATATAACGCGCCCCCCCGCCCCCCCCCCACCCCCAGGGTCCCGAGGGTCTCGCCCGTGCGCGAAGTGGCGTTGTCAGGCTCGGCAATCCAAACATTGCTGTGACGACAATCGCAAATTAATAATAACGACCCACTGTCCTTTCTCAGCGCGCAGAAGAACCACGGACCCCCATCCGCGGTCATCGGCAAAGTCAACGAGCCCGCAGTGACGCAGACGCGCGTCGAAATCGCTCCAAGCACGTGGTTGGCGAAGCGAGGGGTCGGAGTTGGGCGCCCTCGCGCCGCGCGTTCTTTTCGTCTCCGGCGCCAGTCCCGCAGGTAGCACACTATCGCAGACGAACTCCGCGACGCGCCTGCGCCCGCCTGCGCCCCGGAGCGCCGCGAGGGGCGCCGCGTGGCCCCCCGCGGCCGGTAGTGAGAGCAAGTCGGGATTGTAGTCTCCCACGTTCACGCCCACGCCCGAGCCGTAGAAACTGGGCGCCCGAAGCCTCCGCGGAGCTTCTGGGGCGTCGACGCCAGCAGGTGGAGGGCCAAGCGCGGAGACGCGCTCGCGCGCGCGCCCCCTTGCGATGCCGCGCCGCGCCAACGACAGCGGCCCGGCCGAGACCTGTCCCGCGTCGCCCGGCACGCCGCCAGGAGAGTTGCGCGGGGCATTCAGTGCGGCAACCGCCCGACGGACATCCAGTTCCCGAGCATGGCGACGCAGCGCTCGTTGCTGGCACCCGCGAGACAAACCGCCCCCGCAAGCAGCGCGGCGATCGGCCGCGACCGGCGGAAGTGGCAGAGGCAAAGGGTTCCGAGCAACATCCCGAGAGGACTCGTCACCCCCATATGGAGACCGATGTAACTCATCATGCAGAAGCGCCCCCCGCTCGACTGTCGGGCGGGGGGCGCGGAGGGGGTGCCCCATCGCGCCGTCAACCTTTGCCGTCCTTCTTGCCATTCTTGAGAACCTCTCCTATTCGCGAGCCTTGCGTGGGGTCCTGGCCAGGGCGGCTTCGCGCTCAACTTTCTTTCGAATGTGTTCGAGCAGGTCTGGGCATGCCATCAGAGACTCGAATGCAGGCGCGCGTGGGCCCAGAGAAGTGCGTCTGCTCCTCGATCGAAAGCCTCCCACTCTGATTGGCCCCCTCTTGCTCGCGCACCTTCTCCGAGCACACGCACTCCATCGTCTGCATCCTGCGAAAGATGGCCTCGCGCGCCTGCAAGTTGGCGCCGTCGCACTGGTCCGAAAACAGCTGGAGACGAATGTACTGCGTGCGCTGGTGATGCTCCTGCACGCCCCACTGCGTCGGCTCGAGCTTGGCCACCGAGCGAAACCGATCGCGAGGCCGTCGACCCCCGCCCCTGCTACCAGCCAGTCGCGCCCGAAGTCTTCCTCGCGCACGCGAGCGGCCACGGCTGCCCACGCGATCTCGCGACTGGCACCAGCACGCAGCATCGGCATCGCACGAGCGCCCGCTGCCACCGCGCGGCCCTCGAAGGCCTCCAAGTCCGCGGGCGCAACCTCCTCAGGGAACAGCGCAGTGCCGTCCGCCAGGATGTGAAAGTCACGCCCGTGGACCACGGCAAATGACGGCATGTGCCCAGGAACCTCGTCGCCGAACCGAACGTCCCCCAGCGACTGGGCCGCGCGCCAGCGAGCTCCGCCGTCGGCCACCACCTGCGCCGCCGCCGCCGCTCCTTGCAGCACGCCCCGCAGAGGCCCCGCCACAGGCCCAGGCGCGGCCGCGACCGCAGTTCCTGCGACGGCGCCGTGCCCGCCTGGCACCAGCGCCACGAAGCCCGCGGCGGTGAGCAGATCGACGCGACCCATCTGGCCCGCGATCTGCTGGCAGCGCTGGAAGGCGAGGAGCTCCGCGTCGCGAAGGAACACCTGCTTCTTCGCCGCCGATGGCTCCACGGCGAACCGATGCACACGAGCAGGATTCACCCCGCGAGGCACACAGTTCCAAACGGCGCTCCACCGAACCAGGTCCACGTCATCGTTTTCCCCCTCGTCGTACATCACGATGTGAGTGTCGCCGTTGGGCGTCGCCCCGACAAACTCAGAAGCCGATAGCGCCATGCGGCCTGAAACCCACCGTTGGTGCACCAGTACCCCAGCCATCCCCACTGCATAGCTCACGACCTCTGCGAGCACCACGCCAGAGCAGCAGCCAATCGCTCCCCCGGCCCACGCGCCACGCACGAAAACACCCCACGTGTCACAGGGCTCCACCTCCGCCGGGCCCTCCCAGGTGGGGCAGGCAGGGCAGGTCGCGGCGGCGGCCGCGGGAGTCTCGCAGGCCTCCTGGAGCACCTCGGGCACTCTGGCGCGGGCTGGCAGCGTTGCAGGTAAGCCACCGTCACGTCCCGCGTCGCCCCGAGCACCCACCAGGGCCACATCCAAGGCTTCCGCGGACCGCTCCCCCCGCTCCGCCTTGAGCCCCAACGGTTAAGGCGACCCTTCCCAGTCCTGCTCCGCAGAAAAACACGTTAGGATAACTGCAACGCTCCACATATTGATGACAGGTCGGGGCATCTCATCGTTGCGTATCATGCAGTGGTTGCACTATAACCACAAGAAGCCATTAAGGACCCCCCGGGGTTATCATTAGCACTGCACCGCAATTCAGTAATAATGAGGGTCGGTTTTCGCCGAACGATATGATTAGCACCGCGCAGATGGAACGACAATACATATTCCCGCTCCCCGGGTCGGTTGGTCTCCCCAGTGAAATTGGACGAATAATAAGAATGCGACCGCGAATAATGATAAAAGTAATAAAACTAAGAGTAAGGATGAGAGCATCCTACTAATAGTAACAATACTCATCATAATCCGAATCACAATAATAAACAGCACTATGATAGGAACAAGGCACATAATAAGAACAATGATAATAAGAGTACTAATGCTAAACATACTACGGCAACTAATAACAAAAGACAGAACGATGAGAGTACGAGTAATAATAATAACAAGGGTACGAATAAGAGTAACAATAATAATACTCAAAATCATAACCAGAGGCCGAATACGAAACACCATGCTAAGAATGCTAAGAATCTTAACCATAATCAAAAACTGATACGACTAATAAAAACAGAAATAATAATGCGAATGCTAAGAAATCAAATCGCATTATCTTCGTTATCCTTGTACCATACGATTTGTATTACCACCCCTGCTGAACAATTATTTGCTCCCGGCCGTCGTGTGGGGTAGTGCATCCGAGGATATCGCCCGCGCCACGCACGGCGCGTTATCTTAGCACCGCACCCGAACAAAATAAGTACGACAGCTTGTCTAACATGACAAGAAGTACAATAATAACAACAATAATACTACGAATAAGAATGAAACTAATAATGGTAAGAACAAGAATGGGAATGCGAATCAGAGTAACTATAATAAGAAAGGTAAACATGCAAAACACAGACGGGCTCCCCTGCTTCTTCCCTCCCTCCCTCCTTTTTTTGCTCATGTTCTTCATCATCCTTGTCCTGTTCTTCATCATCCTTGTCCTATACGATTATTATTACCACCCCTATTGAAAACTTGTTGTTTCCCGGCCGTCGTGTGGGGTAGTGTGCATCCGAGGATATCGCCCGCGCCACGCACGGCGCGTTATCTTAGCACCCGCACCGCCAAAATGATTCGCCCCTCATCGTAGGCACGGACGGTTCCTTTTCAAAGCTGGGCTCTGCCTTGAGTGGGATTTAATGTTGTGGTGTTGGCGGTGTTGTTGGTGTTTTTGATGTTGTTTGTTGGTGTTGTTGGTGTTGCTGCTGTTGGCCTTGTTGATATAGATAGAACTAGAACCACGCGCGCGCTTCGCGCGCGCTTAGGTTCTAGCTAGGAGGCGAGCTTGAGTCAACGAAAGTCGCAGGGAACGGGGCAGGGGGAAGAAGGCCAGAGAGCGCTGAAGGATACAAATACTGGAACCCTCTTGTGATTTTGTGGGGGGCCTCGTCCGGCCGCTCGCTGGGAGTTTGACGTAGCTTCTCGGGAGCCTCTGAACCTGTCGGGGGCCTCCTGGAAGCAGGTTCGAAGCATTTTGGGGGCCGATTTGGGGCTTCTCGGGGCCTCCTTTGGGCCTCTTGGGGGTCTCCTGGGGCCTCTTGAGGGGCCTCCTTGGGGCCTCCTGGCGGCCTCTTGGGGCGGAAGGCTCGAGCTTGCGGTTCGTGGTCCCCCTCTGGGCCCCCTCTTGGGCCCGTCTTGGGGCCCTCTTGGGCCATCTTGGGCGCCTCTTGGGCCGTCTTGGGGCCCTCTTGGGCTGTCCTGGGGCCCTCTTGGAAGCTTCTTGGGCCGTCTTGGGGCGGTCTTGGAGGCCTCTTGGGCCGTCTTGGACGCGGTGAAAGCCCAAGATGCGAACATGCGAAAAATATACGTTTTCCCATAGGAATGCACGATTTTTGTTTCTTGGACCTCTCTTGGGTGCCTCTCGGAACGTCTTGGGCTGATTTTGGAAGCCTTTTGGCGCCTCTGGGCGGCGTTTTGGCGCCTCCTGGGATATGTTGGGCCGGAAGCTCGGAATTCGAGAGTGGCTTTCTCCTTCTGGGACCCCTCTCGAATCGTCTTGGGGTTCTCTTGGGCCGTCTTGGGGCCGTCCTGAGCCACTCGTGCGCAGCCTTGGAGCGCTCCCGGAGGCCTCCTAGGCCGTCTTGGAGGCCTCTTGGGCCGTCTTGGACGCGGTGAAAGCCCAAGATGCGAACATGCGAAAAATATACGTTTTCCCATAGGAATGGCACGATTTTTGTTTCTTGGACCTCTCTTGGGGTGCCTTTCGGAACGTCTTGGGGTGCTTTTGGGAGCCTTTTGGCGCCTCTTGGCGGCATTTTGGCGCCTCCTGGAGCCTCTTGGGCCGGAAGCTCGGAATTCGAGGTTGGCTTTCTCCGTCTGGGACCCCTCTCGAACTCGTCTTGGGGCTCTCTTGGGCCGTCTTGGGGCCGTCCTGGGCCACTCGTGCGCAGCCTTGGAGCGCTCCCGGAGGCCTCGTAGACCGTCTTGGGCGCCTCTTGGGCCGTCTTGGACGCGGTGAAAGCCCAAGAGGCGAACATGCGAAAAATATACGTTTCCCATAGGAATGGCACGATTTTTGCTTCTTGGGCCTCTCTTGGGCTGCCTCTCGGAGCGTCTTGGAGGCTTCTGGGACCTTCTTGGTGTCATGACAGGCGTCTTGGAAGGCATCTGGAGCCATCGGAGCGCGTTTCGAAGCCGCCTGCGAACGATCTTGGACGGCGTCCGGCGGTCCGACGAGCCTCCGGGCCCCCCGGAGCCCACATTTGTGGTCGGGGTCCCGGCCCCGGGCCCCCGGACCCGGTGCGCCGTTATATGTATATTATGATTGCTGGTATCATTGTCGTTGTTCGTGTTGGTGCCGTGCCGTAAGGGAGTCTTAAGGAGGAGGAGCAGGAGGAGTTGTTTCTGTTTAGCTGGGCCAAGGCCTTGACTGAGGCCTTGGCCCTCGGCTGGATCCGGAATGGCGAATAAGAGCCCATATGGCTACGGGGTGGAGGGGGAGGAGGAAGAGGAGGAGGACCCCTGATGAGGAGGAATAGGAGGAGAAGGACCCCTGAGAAGGACAAAGAGGAAGAGGAAGAGGACCCCTGCTCGGAAGGCCGAGCGCTGGGAAGACTCGCGGCCACTCCAGTTCTCGCCCAGACCGACCACCTGACTCAGACTCGTCTGCGTCCAGAGCAGTTTCTGAGGATGTCTCAGGCGAGGCGCTTGCTTCAGAACCACAGGGAGACCATATTGAGAGAATGTCTCAGGCGGTTTGCTTGTTTCGGCGAGCAGATTCGTCTCCCTTCACATAAAGGTGCGAGGTGCCAGGGTAACGCTTCTGGGGTGCCGGGTGCGTTATACTTTCGCCGGAAAGGGGGGGGGGTCTTAATTGCTTGATGCGGTTAACCCAAGCGCTGAAACAAACATATGCCAGATACAAGTAATCTCACGAGCGCATGCGCGATTAACGTGAAACAAATATAAAGGCGTGAACTGAATCCCGAATGCGCGTGAAACGCGACAAAATCAATTTTGAGTGTCCCGCGACGGCCCTCACAGTCAGGCAACCCTATCCACAAGTCACCCTGTCAACCGAAGGTTTAAGCTGCAAACGTGTCCAATCCAAGTGATCAATGCTACATGCACTCAATGTCCTGTCGTCAGCTCCTCCACCTCCGTATTATCCCCCTTCCCTTGCCCTCTCCCCCACGTTTTCTCCGCCGCCTGTTTCTATTCCACCTTCTCCCTAGCCTCGTGTAGCTCCACCTGCTCCACACCCTCCTCGTCCCTTCCGGCCACACATTCACATCTGCCTTCGCTTCCTTCCCGCTCTGGACTCTAAGCTGTTGCAGCCACAGAAGTATCTCAAAAGGACAAGGTGCGGTGAACTTCTGGACCAGTATGCTCAGGTCGCTCTTCAGCGACGCCGCTTCGTCATGAGGCTGGGGAGACACGTTTTGAATCGTAGAAGCTCTCATCGAATGCGCCGGGCATGCCTCCATGGAATGCTTTGCACACCCGCCGCGTCATACCAGGGAGTACAGACGAGTGCGCTCGAAGGAAGGCTGGCCATTTGAAATGATCAAGACCTGAACTCAGGCTGGGAAAGACATCGTAGCCGTGGCTACAGCGATGAGCTCAAAACATCGGCTCCTCAAGCGCATCGGTTGCATAGACAGGGCTGGGGACGTGAAACCCATTGCTCCCAGCTGCGAGTATGACCCGATCATCAGCGCGACTCGAGCACCCTGGAGGCAAGCAGGGTGTTTCTTGGCAGCGGCGCCGGCGATGCAGCGGCGCCATCGGCGTGAAGATCATCGGGCTCCACACCGAGCTGCACCGCCGATGCATCGGCGAAGTGGCGCACGGTCCTCCCGACCCCGCCTACTCGGACCCCATCTGGGAGGCCTGCATTTCTCCCACGTCCCCCACCCCCCTCCGAGTCCCTCTCCAGGCGTACGACCACTTCGCGCGCCCAGAAGCAGCGATGCGCTCACGACCTCGCAGCGAGCAGCGGAGTCGCGGCTGCAAGCCGTCGCGACACGCCTCCTCCCTGATCGTCGTTTGACCGATCCCTATCCCCACACGCATGGCTTTGGCTCCACTGGCCGACTCACCCCTCCTAGTTTGGGGGGTATGCTGTTTCCTTCGGCATCGCGGGCCAAATCCCCACCTGGGCGGGTGATTTGCCATAGCTGAGATCCTGCGGACCAATGGAGATGGGAACCAGTTGCAGAGGAATAGAAGGCGGCATACACCAGAAACTTTTGGAAGTCCGCGCGGATATCTGGGATCGGCGCTTGCTCCCTCCTGGCGCGCAGAACACGCCAGGGGCGGCACCAGAGGCGCCGCCAGGGGGGCCCAACGCCGATCCAAGAAATCCGCGCGGAGCTCAGAAAACCTATGCTTACGCATATTTGTCTTCTTCGAGGTTGGACGGTGCTGACCCTCCGAACTCGTATCGGACCGGATCGGCTGCGCCAGGATGCACAGCAGCACCCTGCAGGCATCAAGACGCACCAGATCGTCGCAATATCGGGATCGGATCACATCGAGCCTGCCAGGATCGAGATCGAACCTGACGGCCTACCAGACCACCCCAACACAACCCGAAGACCCAAATGGGTTGGGGAGGATACGGGCTCCATATGTGGTTTCTCAATGTTCCCAGACGCCCCTCACACAGGGAATGGAAGGCAAATTGAGGTATCCGGGTTGGGTTGGGGTGGCTTGGTGGGTGGGGAGAACCGGACGGATCGAATCAAAATGGGCCCACCAGGTCGGGGTTCTTCATCCTCTCCATCACGCTGGCCAGCTCCGTCTCCAGGGAGCAGCGCTGGCGCGCGTCCCTCGTCAAGTTTGGGTTTGGGTACTCCTCCAGCCGCTTGAGGTTCGCAGGCTTCACTGCCTGGCGCAGCAGCGGGGGCAGGGAGAGGTAACGAGCAGCATGCGTCAAGAGGGTAGGCAGCATTCAATTGTCAATGCAGCGCCCATCGGTCGGGAGAAGTGGATGGAAGCATGAAGTAGGCAGGCGTTGGATGGGGGGCGTCAAAGGAGGTTCATATGGGAGCAGGGCGTGGCATGCGGCGAGACTTGCGAGGCTGGTCGGCGTCGATTCGGGAACCCAGATCGGATCGCACTGTGCGTCGGATTGGGGATGCCTCGGCACGGAGTCGAGGTCGAATCGGATCGGCTGCGCCAGGAAACGCGACAGCGCAGTGCAGTCGCCGGATCGCAGCAGAACTTCGGGGCATCGGAATCGAATCGGATCGGCCTGGCCAGAATCCACGTCGTATCTGATCGGCCGAATCGAAGTGGGCCCCACTGTGTGGTTCTGCCAGAACTCCAGAACATACGTGCAGGCAGCGTGGAGGCAGTAGAGTAGTAGAGTGGCAACGCAACCACTTTGGCTCGAGCGCGAGTTGAAAGAGGAACGTGTTCCAATCCCGACCCAGCCACCCTCCTCCTCCTCCTCCTCCTCATCCTCCTCCTTCTCCTCCTCCTCCTCCTCCTCCTGCTCCTCCTTCCCTTTTCCCCCCCCTCCTCCTCCTTCCCTCTTTTCCCCTCCCTCTCCTCCTTCCTCCCTCCTCTCCCCTCCTCCTCCTCCTCCCTCGCCTCCTCCCTCATCCTCCTCCTCCTCCTCCCTCCTCCTCCTCCTCCTCTCCTCCTCCTGCCTCCTCCTCCTCTCCTCTCCTCCCCTCCTCCTTTACTCCTTCCCTCCTCTTCTCCCTCGCCCCCCCCTCCCTCCTCCTCCTTTCCTGCTTCCTCCTCCTCCTCCTCTCTCCTCCTCCTCCTCCTCCTCGCTTCCTCCGCCTCCCCTCCTCCTTCCTCGTCCTCCTCCTCCTCCACCCTCCTCCTCATCCTCTCATCCTCCTCCTCTCTTCCTGATTTTCCTCCTCTCCTCTTCCTCCTCCTCCACCTCCTCCTCCCTCCCCCGCCCGCCCCATGTCCCGAGCTTGTGGCAGGGGCATCAGCTCGCCGTTGTCGTTTTGTCGTTGTTGTCGTCGTCGTCGTCGTCGTCGTCGTCGTCGTCGTCGTCGTCGTCGTCGTCGTCGTCGTGGTCGTGGTCGTGGTCGTGGTCGTGGTCGTGGCCGTGGCCGTCGTCGTCGTCGTCGTCGTGGTCGTGGTCATTGGTCGTGGTCGTGGTCGTGGTCGTGGTCGTCGTCCTTCTGGGTCGGCGGCACAGGCCGTCAGGCCTTCACAATAGAAGGTCCACTGCCTTTCCGGCTCCTATGGGAGTCCTCTTGGAGGGTTTTGGGGCCGTCTTGGGCCCATCTTGGGCCGTCCTGGGCTCGTCTTGGGGCCCTCTTGGGCGCCTATTGGGCCACCTTGGAGCGATCGCGAGGCTCTTCGGCCGTCTCTGGCGCTCTGGAGACCGATAAGCCGAGCTGGCGAAAATTGCACCGAAACCTACGGAAACCCATAATTCTTGCCTCCCGAGGGGATGTTGGGAGTCGCCTTCGGCCCCCCTTGGACCATCTGGGGAGCCCGTTGGGCCGTCGAGTGGCCTTCTTAGGCCCATCTTGGGCCATCTCGGGCCCACTGAGGCCGCCTGGGGGTTTCCTGGGCCCTCTCTGGGTCGTCTGGAGCTTTTGCAGGGGCCGTGTTCAGGCGTTTTTCTTTTGCCGCTCATGGTGGAATTCTGCCGCCTCTGAGCGCCGCCTCCTCTCCTTCCGCCCGCGACCCCTTTGTCCTCCTTCCGCTCTTGCACGCCGGACAATTCGCTTCGTAGTGCCCCTGCTTTGCTCTTTCGCGGGTGCGGATTGCTTCTGCCTCGCCGCTGGCGAGAAAAGTCCAGGCGTCTTTGGGCCGCCCTGCGCACTTCGTGGGGCCCTCTTGAGCGCTTGCCGGGCCATCTTGGAACGACCTCGGGGGCCTCGTCGGCCGCGGCGTGCGCTCGGGGGACCGAGGAGCCGAGAGTGCAAACCGAGACCATCCAGGAACTCTTGTGAGGTTTGCCCCCGGGGGGGGGGGGCCGCTTGAGAGCCGTCTTGGGGTTCCCCTCCTCCTCCCCTTCCTCCTCCTTCGCCTCCTCCTCCTCCTCCTCCTCAACCTCCTCCCTCCTCCTCCTCCTCCTCCTCCTCCTCCTCCTCCTCTTCTTCTTATTATTATTATTCTTATTCTTATTATTCTTCTTATTATTATTCTTATTCTTATTATTCTTCTTCTTCTTCTTCTTATTATTCTTATTCTTCTTCTTCTTATTATTATTATTGTTATTAGTATTATTATTATTACTATTAGTATTATTATTCTTATGCTTTTTATTAGTATTCTTCTTATTATTTTTATTACTATTAATAGTATGACTATAATTATTATTATCATTATTATTAGTATCATTATTATTAGTAGTATTATTAATATTGTTATTATTATTATTACTCTTCCTCTTCCTCCTCCTCCTCCTCCTCCTCCTCCTCCTCCTCCGCCTCCGCCTCCGCCTCCGCCTCCGCCTCCGCCTCCGCCTCCTCCTCCTCCTCCTCCGCCTCCGCCTCCGCCTCCGCCTCCGCCTCCGCCTCCGCCTCCGCCTCCGCCTCAGCCTCCGCCTCCGCCTCCGCCTCCGCCTCCGCCTCCGCCTCCGCCTCCGCCTCCGCCTCCGCCTCCGCCTCCGCCTCCGCCTCCGCCTCCGCCTCCGCCTCCGCCTCCGCCTCCGCCTCCTCTCTCTCCTCCTCCTCCTCCTCCTCCCTCCTCCCTCCTCCCTTCTCCCTCCTCCCTCCTCCTCCTCCCTCCTCCCTCCTCCCTCCTCCCTCCTCTCCCGTAGCCATTCTGGCTCAAGACGGAGCTTACCTCCCGTCCCGACTCCAGAGGCTCGAGGACCGAGGTGGAACGGCAGCCCGCCTCAGGCCAGGCTGCCTCGGTCCCAGGTTTCCAGCAACGCACAACCTCAGTTTCTTTCTTCTGCTGGTCGCCGCGGCGAACGGCCAGCACCCAGTCTCCCCGCAGCCATGGGAGGCTACAAGCAGTGGAAGAAATGCTACTGCCAGACGCCCAGCTGCTGGGGATGGACCTGGCAAGGGCATGGTGGTCACAAGCATTGTTCTGAATGCGGACGCAGTTTCAAGCCTCAGCCTCATCACTCCCGTCCAGCAGGTCACAAATCGGCAGGACACGATGATGGTGGCAGCACCCAGCAGGCCCCCCGCAACAGGTGGTCTCGCAGCCGAGGTGCATCCCGTGGACATGAGGCTCAACAGCAGCAGGATCATGGTCCCAAGACGTCCCTCGCTCCAGAGGGCACCGACCCAGCCAAGGACGACGTGGCCATCTGCATCCAGGCTGTCAACTTTTGGAAGAAAACGGTCGGCCAAGAGGGGAAGCAGTACATCCAGGCCTGCGAAGACCTCCGCCTGGCCAAGACCAAGGCGCTCGAGGGCAAGTCGCTGGACGCCAAGACCCAGTCGCTGGCCGACCAGCTCCAGCGGCAGAAGCGCAGGCTCGAGTCGAAGAAGGGCGAAGTTGAGAAGAACCTCATCAGCCTGGACAAGGCCGCCGAGGTGTATGACAAGTCCGTGGAATCGTACAAGGAGCTGCTCGCCGAGGTCTCCCAGCTGGAGGCTCAGCACAGCGTGGCAGCGAAGGCAGCAGTGGCGGAGGCGGCTGCTCGCCTCAATGGCCCTGACAACAAAGAAGACACGACCTTGCTCAACTTTGTGGACAGTAGGTTCCCGCAGGGCCTGCCAGACCACATCAAGAAGGAGCTCGTGGAGGTCAACAAGAAGCTGGAGCAGGAGTGGCAGCAACACACAGCAGCAGCAGCAGCAGCAGCAGCCGCCGCAAGTGCTTCAACCTGGGGCGCCTGATAGTGGTGCTCAACCTGTTGCAGTCCAGACGCCCACTCCACCTGATCGACCTGGAGAAGGGCTCGGGCCTGCTGCAGCCGCCATGGAGGATGACAGCCACCGTGGCGTCATTCGCAAGCACGCGGGGAACGGCGAGCACCTGGTCCTCTCCACCGCCACGGGCATCCATTGCCTCAGCGAGGAGGCCCAGGGGGCGCAGGACCGCCTCGCCAAGCGCCAGGCCCGTCTTGCCGCTGCTGCACCTGGCGTCACAGGCTCGGGTGAGGCTAAGCCGTTGGATGGGTAACAACCTCAGAATATGCACGTTCAATGGTAGCAGTTGGTCTGGAGTCCGTAAGTTCATGGTTTCCAAGGAGGCCAAGGAAATCCAGATTATCTGTTGCCAAGAGACGCGCATTCGGGAATATGATCTGGTCAAAGAAACGGAGTGGTGTGCTAACAGGGGATGGTTAGCAATTTTGTCGCCAGCTGTTTTGAGTACCAAGGGTTGTCCGTGTCAGGGTACTGGAGTACTAGTACGTTCTGGCCTAGATCTTGGAATTACCAAGCTACCTCTTCCTGAAGGTTTCCAGAAGTCTCGGGCTACTGTCGTCAGCATTGAGGCTCCAGGTCACCAACCTTTCTGTTTAGGATCGCTGTATCTGGCCGACTCCGTTGGCTTGAATGAGGAGAACCTCACAGTGCTGACCAGTGTTGTGCAGGCCGCCTCCGACCACCTTTTGCCGCTCTTGCTAGCAGGAGATTTCAACGTGTGCCCGTCCAAAGTGATCGAAACGGAGTTCCCGACCAGGGCTGGGGTCCAGGTGATCGTTCCAGACACGCACACATTGTACACTAAGAAGTCAAAGACAATTATAGATTACTTCATGGGGTCGTACTGTTTCGAGCACTTCTTGAAGCAGCCCAAAGTTCTAGTTGACTACCCGAGTAGTCCACATAGGCCAGTCGTTTTGGATATGGTGATCGGGGCCCCATATCTCATTCCCGTCCTGGAGCAGCCTCAATTCATCCCAGTGGTCGCCCCTGTGGGTCCTCGCAACATGGTCCCACCGTGGTCTCGAAGTCTTGGGGCTCTGGATTGTCTGGAGGGACTTCTTGAGGAACG